AAAATAATTAAGAAAACTAGATGTAAAATCTAAGGCTGCCCCAAGATCTTGTATGAAGAGTAACACATGCTGCAAATGACCATGGAAATATTTCAAGGTAACATTTTGCTAAGAATGAACTCTCCTAAGTCCAACTTCTCCCTATAGAGACAAAGACAGCTCCCAGCTTTCCAATACTGACCCCCATTGGCATCTTCTTGTTCTCAAACATGCTCAGCCAAACACCACACAATCTGCTGCTCTGACACCACAGGCTCTCAGTAATGTGTGAGAACAGTCTGTTCACTGATCTCCTTTTTCTCCTTCTGCTTGATGGAGATGCCTCCCTCATGACAAAGCACTAAGTCATGCATGTATGTGTACACATATCCATTCTATGTCCTCCCAAAATATGTTAAGGTTCTCATTTCAAGTATCAAACTTCTTAAATGTTAATACTGTAAATGTATAATTCCCTGATCATTCCAATGCTCTTCAAAAAACTTTTTCTTCTTCTTTCATGATATCGTAACACTTTCCATCTTGATATATTTAGACAAAACTAAGCCACAGGCTTCCAAATTGTTTTAGCCTTTCCTTATGTCAGACACACTTTCAGATTAAATACAGTTCCAACATAGAAAAGCAAACCAAAACCAACAGCTCATTGCACCCAAGTTCACGATACACTGAAAACTGAGAAAGTAAAATCCGACCCAGGATATCCAGGACTTTGAGTTTTTTCAAGGCAAACATTGCCTGCTGATGGTGGGAATAGCATTTACTTGCACTGAGAGGATGAAGACTAAATGCCAGAGGAAACATTTTTTTTCTTTTCTCTGAAAACTACCTGGCAGTTTTCCTCTACCCCAATACACAGATCTTCCACAGACAGGATTATGTGCTTTTACCCTAACTGGCAGCTGAAGTCTAACTATATTTACATGTTTATTCCCAGAAGAGAACTCTTGCCTCTGAGAACACTTTCTATTTTTAAAGAAGGTGAGAGAATTGGGGGGGGAAAAAAAAAGGCAAAACTGACCCAAGGGACTAGCAATTTCAATGCCCACTTGAAAGGCTATAAAGGTGTTTCAGAACATCTGAATGTCAGGCCACTAACAAGCATCTCAAAACTTTCAAAGAAACCAAAAAATGACCCCTGTAAGAGTTTAGACCACGATGCACATTTTCCAACGGATGGTCATGGAATAAAAACATATTTCTAAAACCAAAAGGTAAAGTAAGTTCATTCATTATAGGGTGTACATATTTCATGGAGTTCAGCTAGGCATAAAACCACATACTTTCAAGGGTGCTATCTATGAAAAAATCTTTTTCAGTAGTAATAATCTAAATTATGATGGTCTACACTTAACACAGAATGTATTTTTAAAATATTAACTGTGTTTGTCCAGTAAAGTGAAAAATTGGATATTATTGAAACAACATCCTAGAACAATTTGTTCATTTTCTAGCAATCCCTGCTGCCTGACCAGAAAAAGCCTCTGGACAAATTTTGTTTATCATCTTTGTTTCTGGCCATTCCTTGTTGGTGCAAGTATGGAAAAATTTTAACCGAGCAACTTTAAAAAAACCTCAGTTCAGTTTAGAAAGAAACCATGCTCCCTAGAACTGAAGAAGGAACGGGGATGGAGCAAGCCTCAAGTGGCAAGCAAGCATAACAAAAGTATTTCTTCTTACCTGCTCAAAAGTGCAACAAAATAACTCACAGCTCTTAGCATAACAATTTATGTGCTAAATTTGTGTATCAGGAAAAGTATCAGTAGGTTTCTATTGGTGGGCATTTGCTACAATCCTTTTCTATTTGTAACAGAATGTTGGTGGATAAAACCTGCTGGAAGAATGAAGTTAGCATGGGGCCATTTTTAAAGATACTGAAAACCTGTGAAGGGTGCTGAAAAGAGCCACAAAAGTGCTCTGAGTGCTGGGGGAAATGTCCTGCGATGCTAAAGAGCTCAGCCTATTTATTTAACAAAAAGAAAATGGAGCAGCAACTTGATTGTCTCGATTGCAGTATATAAATAACTTTATGAAGGCGGTATGCAGGGGGAGTAGAGTTTTTAATATAGTAGAGAAAATGCATAGCTGAAAGCTAAACCAAGACAAACTAATCCTGGCAATCAGGAACAGCAGAGACTCGTTATTGCCACAAACTAGCAAGGGAAGTGATGGATCCTCCACCACTGGATGTCTTTACACTAGGTTTGGATGCCTCTCTAAAATACTTGCTTTACCCTAACAGGATCTATGAACTAACCAGGAAAAAAGCTGAGGTTTCTTTTAATGGTTAATAGGTGTGTCTTCTGAATTGCAAAGCCTTTCGGAAAGCCTTTCATTCTGTGAGGGCAGAGCTCACTGCTCAATGAGTAGCCTAGAGTGGGTTTTTGTACTGTTATTAGTCTTTTATTTATACTTCAAGAAAAATTATCTTAATTTTGAAATATGGAGAAAGCAATATTCTGAAAATCACTGGTCTGCACTTAAGGAAGACAAATATTTGCCTAAACTTCATACAGCAAATGAATGGAGGAAAGAAAAAGACATTTGAAAGGAAAATATTTGTACTGAAAGCTCAATTCTTCTGGAAAAGTTTTGATTTTATAAAACCTTGACAAACAGTAGGGAGATCATATTATGCATTTTGTTTTCTTATGGTGAATTGTGAATAGAAAATCCATATTCTTATGGGAAAACCTCTTAAAATTTAAGCAGGAGCTTCAAAGATCAACTAGCTCTAACATAATGAAGGAAAGATAGATGACTTCTCCTAAACCATACTCTAACAACCACTCTGCTCTTAAACTGCAGCTCTGACTTATTCAAGCATCTGGGGGTGACAACATGTCATTCCTGGCCCGATTGCCCTTCCAGTCATCCGTGGGACAAGCTGTCCCTGCTCCCCTGACCCCAGAGCAACTCCTGCCGGCTGGATCTCAGGTTGATGAGATGGGACAAAAGGTGTGGGTCCCCTCCCCTCTCATGGCTCCTGCTCCACCAGCCTCCAGTGCCTCTTGGAGGGGATGACTTGCTGTAAGCACCCGCAAGGCCTCTGTTCCACACTCCTGTTCCCAGACGTAGCCTTGACAATATCCAGACTACTACAGAAACATCCCAAGGAAATTATGTCAATAGAGTTGGGCACTTCTGAGATTGCTATGCCAGACTAAGGACATGTACCAGGAGTCCTCCCAGTGGTTACTCTGCAAGTCCTTTCCAACATCTGGCTCAAAACACTTCCAGGGGAGGAGAGGAGGAACACCAAGAACAGGAGCAGCACCGGCTGTGCGCCAGCAGAAGGGGACGTCAGCAGGCTTGGAAGCTGGTGGGATGCTGCCCTCATGCCGGTGGGATTAGAGAGAGCAAGCTCAGGCGGCACCAGGAGGGCCAAGCTACACCAGTTGTTGGCAAGGTGAAGGGAAAGGTGCCGCACCTCCCCGGGAGAGACTCTGCCCTCCCATCCCTCCCCTCCGCGGGTCTGGGCTCAGCGGGCAGGCAGGAGAGAGTGCCCAAAGAGAGGGAACAGGGCTGTTACATCTTCTGGGTAAAGAGCAAAGAAACCTGACACCTCCAACGAAATCTATGCAGAAGTTTAGAGGGAAGGTTGGCAAGGAAAGGATCGAAAAGAACTGTCTCCTCCAGGGGAAAGGAAGGCAGAATAGGGATTACCCGAAGGGTGGAAGGAAGAAGTAGAGAGGTACAGGGATGCAGGACAAGAAGGCTGCAGAAGAAACGAGGGGCAGGGAAAGAAGGGCGTCCCGAGAGAGGGACAGCGCGGGGAAAGTGGGCGGACAAGGAGGACCAGTCTCGGCGGCCGAGGGGAAGGAGCAGGGCCTTACCTGCAGGTA